TTTAAGGACATTTTATAATTTATCTATTTTTGATATTTTTAGAATACTGTAAAACCAACTTATGCAGAACCTTATATTCAATTTTCAAGTTTAAACTATTAAGATTGAACATTTCATAAGTATTAAACTATAAAATAATTCATAAATGTTCATAATTTTTTCAAAATTTGAACTTAAAATAACGCTTACATAAAAAAATAAATATAATGACCTTGTATTTTCAATATTGAATAATTTCTATACTGATTAAATAATATTATATGAAAAATATTGTATTAAATTTTCAAACTATTTAACTTATAAACAAAAATATTTAAATTCAAATATGACAAGTACTATTTTGTTTCCATGATAAAGTATCAACTTATTTAAAAATTATAAAATATTATTCCGAAAATTCTATATATTTTTGATTTAAATTTAAATTGTATTATTTTAAATAATACAATACATATTATGATCCACTGCAATCTGCTGGTTAGATTAACTACCCAACAATAATTCGTTTCCATTGAAACATGATATCAAATACATTTTTAGACACTAAACAAGTATATTATCTAGACATGGCGCACCGCAATACAAATATTTACGTAATATAAATATGTACTAAATAATAAGTATACAAATTTATAGTCGATGGTCATAATAAATTATTCTAGGCATATTTTGACCACGTAGGTAGATGTATTTTCAAGTACTTATAACGTTGCACAACAAAGCTATGAATTACAACTCATATATAATAATTCTTCACCACGACAAAAACACAATTTACAATTTTTTTTCTCGAGATTCTTGGTATAAAATCCAGCAACTATCAAGTATAATAATTTAGATTTTTGTAAAATTATATTATCTTAAATTTAAAATCAGCATGAAAGTGCACTTCCATTGTTTGTTTACTGTTATAAACTACCCATGTACCAAAACAATGAATTTTATTATACTTAGATCAAGATTTTGATCGTATAATGCAGTATATTATTTTTTTGTTAAACCATAAACATTACATTTAACGAAAATCACAAGAAAATAAATGAAAAAATCCCAATGAAAATTAACAACACTATAATTTATCCAGAATAGCTATATGACATGGGGATCAGGAGGTTGGATTCTATCACTGGATAAGTTTTTCCTTCTTATGTAAATATTTCAAAAGAAAAATATATTTTATGATAAAATTTACATATTTTTCTATGTTAAGGTTGTAAACATCTCAGATTTCTTATTAAAATAAAAAGAAAAGAGATTATCTATATGGAGTAAATATAATTTATTATATTTATTAAAGAAACTATAAATAAAGTATAAAACAATAAAATATTTATTGAACCATAATACTAAAATTGAATAATTTAAACAACAATCAAAAACTGTTTAGAAAATCATCATCGGCGACTGAATGAATCTAATATTATAAGAAAAAATAGAATAAATAATGTAAAAACGAACACTTTTTTAAATGCACTTTAATAGGCAGATGTTAGGAGTTTCTAACAAACGAGATTATATGAACACGACATTTTTTCTGATTCTCAGTGAACGACGTAGTTTAACCAACATAATATTATATTATGTACATATAGGTAATACATGTTGCATCATAAATGTTGTACGAGTAGGTATATTATACATAATATAATAAACATAAACTATATACGAGTAGGTAGTAGGTGCATTATATAATTCCACATTGATTTTTGTCGTTGTCCCTACTCCAAATATTTATATCTATATGAAATAAATAAACGCTATTTCTTACTAATAAAGTAGTTAATAAATAATATTTCAAATACAAATCGCATTGCGTATTCAATATACAAACCGGTCTTAATGACAGTATAGATTTATCTGTATGATTCGTGGATGAATACTCGTTTATTGTATTATGATTCGAAACAAAATGTATTATTTTTTTTTGTTCAATGGAAACGTTCTAAAAGTTCATTGCCATCAAGCATCTATAATACGTAAATTGTAGTTAAATGTGATTATTAATTTTCTTCTTATTAGGTATACTTATCGAATTAACATTATATTATATATTTATATTGCACCTTGTAAAGTTGATTAATGATGTATAACTTTTAACAAACAACAATAATTTTTAACATAAATTAAATGTATATAAGTAACTACTTAGAATAATATCTTATACCTAAAATAGACTATATGAGTAATTTAATATGGTTACAATCACTAATAAATCTTTGTATATTGGCTGAGAAAAATAGAATTTGAAAAACAAAAATATACACATGATTTTCAATGATTCTACAAAATAGAAACCAAATTTCATCTGAATAAACCTTAGAAATTTAGATCAATCTTAATTGAAATATAAAAATGCATTGCTATAAATCCGTGAATAGTTATTACACATTTTAGACAATAATATTATACAAACATTAGTATTTATTATATTTGATAAAATAATAACGTACGCAAAAAAAAATTAACTATTAATTCATAAAAGTTATTATATTTTACTCTTTTATTTTAAAGAATAATCATACTTTCTATACCTACAATTGATTTAACATCTACTATCTACGATAAACTTAAACATAAAATACGCTACCATATTTAATAAACAAAATGGTAGTTATCAAGCTGTAATATATAATAAATAAAATAAAACGTGATTTAAGTAAATAAAATAACATATAATCACAGTATAAACAGAGTTATAATATCATATTGTTTTATGTTAGTATTGTTATAATATTTAAGCAGATAAAATATATCAATTTACATTGATGTCTGAATATTAAAATTATATAAAAACTATTTTTTTTGTAAAGTAATGAAGCAAATATTTAAACATTTTATATTTTTAATACATAAATAACCATATTTAAAATAAAATATACAGTTAGGTATGTCATAAATCGCAATAATTACATTGTTAGTTAAATGGATACTGTAGCTCGAAATTTTTAAAATAAAATGACAATGTATGAAGTAATGATAAATGTATTTTTAATTATATAGAATTTTCTCAGAAAAGATAATAATTATTTATCTAAAACTATAATATTATTTATTTTGCAATATGCTTTAATATTTTTCTTTAAGTTTTACTAATAATAAAACAATAAAGTCAGAAGAGAGATGTTATAAAGATTCATAAAATAAATATAAATATAATATATATATATATATATATATATATGAGGTATATGTAATATGTTTATTTTATAATATGCAATAGAAATCTAGTATTTGTATTGTTTATACTTTTAAATAACAAATTAATACATAATTTATATTATATTTTTAATTTTGCATTTCAAAGCAAATTATTTTCCTGGGAATTCAAATTTAATTTTAAAAATTGAAATTTAAAATCGAATTTCAAATGAGTAAGTTATAATTATGTAAAATTGAAATAAACTAATACCCTAGTGCGTAATAGCACAGGAGTATCTACTTAAAAAAAATATTGTTTCCTTGCTCCACTCATCACAACTTTATAAGATAACTACTTATTAACTACTTGTTTGAAACTTAATTTTAATGAATTGAAATTCTCAGAAAAATATTCTATTTCGGAATGTAAAATGAAAAATAAAATTATGTATTATAGTACCTATAAATTAAATACTTGAAAAATGTTAATATAAACAGTAAAAATATAATTTATTTTCAAAAATGTTGTATTGTAAATAATGACATCAAATTGTGTAAAAAAACTATGTTCAAATATGTAGATACTTTTCGAAAAAACAAGTATTTCTCTACTTTTGAAAATAATTTTCCTATTTGTATACAATTTACATGTATAGGTACCAACTACCTAATAATAAATGTCTATAAAAATACATATATTTCTTATATATTTTTTTGTACGATATATTTTAAGTTTTAATCCTATTAAATAAAAATAACTAATGTATCTAACCTAACCTAAACGTAATTTAATTTACATACTAAACAATCGATAATATTTCTGATACTTTATAATTTATCTATGATTTAGTTGTTTATATTATATGTATTTATTTCATTCGAAAAATAGCTTGTAAAGTATATTATTTAAATGGTCATCAAGAATACTTAAGTATCTATACAATTATTATTGAAAAAGTCATATGAGAAATTAGTTATGTGGCATAACTATTTTTTTATACATGGGTAGATATTATCATATTATTCTGTCTCACATCTTAAATTATACCTGCGCGATACATTGCGTATTTCGTTCACTACGTTTTACACAAAATCATATGACTATATGAGCTTACCTACCTATAGTATCTATATCCACATGTCAACTTTATAAGCAATTTATTCCTATTCGTGTCATTAGACAAAAATGTTTACTTAACGGTTAGTTGTACAGTTTTATACACGTTTGTAAGTTGTAATGTTTCTACTCTTGTTATTTTATTCGCATAGGTAATACGTATGTAATAACAATTATTTTGGTTTATTGTAAAGTTTTATAATAAGTAAATAAATAAATCTATCTTAATTTTGACACTAAAATCTGATGTTATAATACGATCTAACCTAACGTATGACTACAGTGGCTTAAAAGATACCTACCTATAACCAATATAGCATAACACAAAGTGCGACGTCGCGTATAATTATATAACAGCATCTCGGCATTGATTAAAAATACCCAGCTAGTGAACAATCCGTAGTATTAATAAATCAATGACAGCGATGACTTTGACGTGTACAAAATATAAGTCTAAATTGGAATTCCACGGAACAGTAAGCTCGAGAAAAATGAACACACAACGACACGAGAATGCATAACGTGCATTGTGATTATCTATATTATATTATGGTCCACGGTTTGCCCAACTTTAAACTTTGTAAATATTAAAAGTTCGGTTGAAACTAATGACAGAACTTTGGTGTAGGCGGAATTGAGGGATTAGTGAAACCACAAAACGTTGTTATAGGTAGATAACTTATAAATAATAATAATAATAATAATATAGCGACCGGCACTTAAAATTCGTACGAGATTTACTTGCCCGTCGACGGCGACTCTATCTGCGCCACGATCGTTGAAGCCGCTTCCGTCTTCGTCAGGATACGCAGCCTTCCGAGTGAGCAATGGCGTCCGATCAGTGACACCGTTGTCAGCGGTGGAGGATACGGAGGCGTCAGTGTCTGGCGTCCGCGATCCACGACGTTCCAAGTCATCGAATGTCGCTCCTCCAGCACCGACTGACGTCGCCGTTCTGTGTTGTTGTTGTTGTTGTTGTTGTTGTTGCCATCGTCGTCGATCGGAACCGTCTTCTTGGGAGACGGCTGTAAACTCAGCGGGAGGTTCAGTCGCGTCGATGACAGACATTTTCGTCGACGACCACCAGCACTCTGAGCAATACGGTACAATGTGTAATATTATAGGTTAGGCCGATCGGTTGCTGCGGACGGACGCCGAAATCTCATTCGAACGCGAAAAATATTTGATAACAACGGTCAATGAATGAATAATTATATTGTTATTACTATGATTATTAATGTCGTCGTTGTTGTTGTTGTTGCTACCGTTTATCACAATATGGACTGTGACTGTGTGTACGACATATAATAACGTTATTATGGATATCAAAAAACATTCGACGGACGAACCGCGTGAAACGACGCGCCGACTCTTATCACGGGTTAATAGTTCCCCGCGGTTGTATAACATGATATTGGTACTAAAAAATCTAACATAATACAATATCATTATACATGTACCCCGTAGGTTCGACGAACCGTGTGCGAGTTCGATCATTATCGCGGTATAATAATAATGATAATTCGAACATCGCGGCCCACCCAGAGGTATACGTGCAGCAGGTGTCTATGTGTCTTATTTGTACAGCTGATTCGTGCGTAATGCGTAGGTACGAGCTTTTTATTTTTCAACGTACGTACCTACCTGCGCGCGGCTCACCGCCGAAAACGCTGTTGCGCCGCGGGCGGGCGGATGGCCAGCGACATAGTAACGTTACTTCTCATTGTACGGATATTGTAGAAATGCATTATAGTAACTGATATAATAATAGTTATGATAACTGTAATATTGCCACAGTCGAAAATAGTATTATAGTGTACTGCCGTTAACCGGTGCCTACCATCGGTTGTGCAGAGACGGCCACTCTCGCGCTATATAGCCAGAGCTTCGGCCCGTGCTGTTTGGTCGTCGAGCAACACAACGCACCGGACCGCGGTAGGCGGTTGCCTAACCGAACGAAAACGGTCTGCTCGAAAACAACGATCACTATATATTATAATAATACGAGTATAATATTATATATTATATACATTTTGTGAGCGACATTTTCACTTGTTGAACATCGAAAACAATAAACATTGTTCCCGATTAAGCGACAAACACTCGAACGCAATTTCACGGTTATCCACGTCCGTATGAAAGCGGATATAAACAAATTAGTGAAAAATTATATTAAACATCCAAAGATCGCATTAAAACTATAAATGTTTGTGTGTTTTTTCATTCGAAAATAGATTATTTTTTTTTTATTTAACACGATTATAATATAATAATAATTTTTTTAATTTTTTGTTGCCATTTTATTCTTTTCAAAATTTGTCAATTAAGATAACCAAACAATGGAACTCGTGGTATGATTTTGGTATCAACATATATATTAGTATTATATGCTAAAACTTTATTCGTACATTTATTTTAATTTTCAATGCGGCCTCCAATAAAAAGCTAAAAATAAATATAGCCCACGAAAGTAGAAAGGTGCGTCGACGGTCTGATGACGCTCATGAATGGGAAACATGGAAGTATACATTTTATTAATAATCATACAACTTAACGAATTGTAAAGGCAGAACCAAAGACGCGAAAGCGAGTGTAAATAATGAGTTGAATTGTGAATAAAGTGTTAAAAACTGTATAACATGTAGATGGGTATGTTTAATACCTCAGTTTGTACTGTGTTCGAAACGCCAACCATATCTGGATCGATGTAGATACTAGATGTCGTATCATGACACAATAGAAAAAAACAAATTGACATGGTTTGAATGAAATGATAACACAGCAGTTTACTATCTACTGATAAAGGTACCACATTTAATAAAGATATTGTACGTGCTCTTTATACTTAATAATACACGTATAAAGTAGCACAGAATATTATAGTAGAACAAAGTGTACATAATTATATTCAAAAGATAATTCTTCGAAAATTTAAATTTCCACTAATTTTCAGCTGGAAATACATATTTCTGACCGCTATGTGTGATTTTAAATTTTAGGAAAAACCAGAGTCTTTTGGATTTCAATACTTAGCCAATACAAGTACATGGAAATTATGTGCTTTATACAAATGAAAATACGCGTTTCTAGATGTTTCATGAAATAGTTATGAACTAGTACGTAATAACAACTCTAAAGCAAAGGATCACCTAAAAAAAAAAAAAGACACAATAAAATGGGATATAAGGTTAATCTTTAACCTCCCTTACCAGTACACTACTTCAGCATTATCCTGAAGTTAACACGAAAATGCAATTCCCAGTTCTTAATGACTTCCAATAATTTTATTTTTATAATATTGTATTCATCGTCAATTTATACTTTTATTTAAACGTAAATACCTAGACCTCTACCTAGAGATTTGATAAGAGATAGCTAATATTTTTTTATTCTAATCTCACTTATATTTTTTCATCAAGATAATCAAGAATTTTTCAACATTTACGTTTACGATATATTTAAACATGCATATTTTAAAATTGATTATTAATTAACTGGATACCTTGTACCATTACAATATAAATTATAATATTATACAAGCCAAAAAACACAAGTAAGTACTATATAAATGGTAATTGTTATTATTACAAATAATTTAGAAGCACAAAGTAGCTACTTACCCTTGTGTATGACTTTTAGTCACTAGCATAAATTAATGAATGTGTCATGCCCATATACTAAAGATGGTTATGATACTTTTATCAAACAATAGCTATAAAAGTACTATAATCGTTTATTATTTTAATAATTGAGAACAATTTTAACAAAATTACATGCTATTATAGTACCATTTAAAAATGACCTTGAAAATATAAAATACATTGTATAAAATTTTTCTTTTTAAGTAATTATAAAACTGATTTTCTGATTTTTTTTTTTCAATTGAAGTTTAAAATTATTTTAGTATAAAAATTAAAATATAATATAAACCTATATTATTTATATAATATGTCTTACATTTTTAAAGTTAAGAATTTAAAAAAGAATGTGGTAACACGTAATCATTTGTTGTCTTATCATTATATGTTATATGTAAGGTTCTGAAATAGTTTATTTTTTACATATATTTTTCTTTGTGAATTGTTTAATTTGTACATTGTTTAAGAATTATAAATGTTTAACTTAAAACGTAGACTATACCAAATAAATATAATAACAGTCATACATTATGGAATACCTCTAAAGAGTAAATGTGAAAAATTTTAAAATCAATAATAAAGTTACTATTACTTGTGTGGTAAACTATATTTTAAACAAATTAATTAGGCAAAAAAACTATTTACATTTACTTAAGTGACTTCAATAGAAGACCTCTCACTTACCCATAATTATTCAACACTCATCATAAAAAAAATATTTAATAAATTACTTATTAATATACATTTATATACATAAATAAAACCATCATTACCATTTTAATGTACAATTTTTGGTATATAAATGCTATAAATCTTACAAATCCACAAATTGTATCTCACTTTACATTTTTTAAAAGCTTGTAGGTATCTACCTAATACATCAAAATATTTAAATTTTAAATAATCAAGTACGTTAAATTATCATAAAAATGATTAAATTATTTTAATTAAATACTAAAGTTTTACAACGCTTAATTCCTAGTAGCCCAAATTACTAAGTATTTAAAAACAATGATAAAAAGAATTATTTAAATCTTTTACCGATCTAAAACGACAAAAGCTTATATTATTCTATAAAAAATCTAATGGAAATTTTAAATTTTTAAGTAAAATTTACTTTTTCAAATTCTTTAACATTTGTATACATATATAAGTTATAACATATTATTCAAAAAGTTTTTTTTAGATAAACACATAACGAATATCTTTCATTCGTCAAAAATACCCTACTTAATCAAAGTCTTCAAGTTTGCCAATTATCATATCTAATATAACCAGACTGGTAGTCTCAAGACCGTGTAAGTGTCACATAAAACATTTTTCGTGTTTGTTATTATTTTGAAAGAAAGCATTGTATATTCAAATAAATTGGAACAAAACAGATTTTAAAAATACATTCTCAGTTCACGGACGTCGAATAACAAAGATAGAATATAACTTAGAAACGGTATAATTTACTAAACATTCATAATTTTATATTAAGTACCTAAACTACTCATTATACATAAGTAAAGAGATAACACGGTCGGAGCTTTAAAGCATAAATAAATTGGTTAACTACTGCCATGCTAGTTGGGGGCAATCCATGCTCTTACTTTTAGATTGACACCCATGCATAAACTGCAGTCATGTGGAACCTACTGTTTATTATACGTTCTCACCATAAATCAAATAATAATATACTATTATGAACGAACGTATTCATTTACTGTCCTAGTACAAACTACACACATTATTATAAGAGTTTATTAAAACAATTTAACAGTATATAAAATAAAACAATTTTGATTACAGTTTGTAAATGTGAAATTGGTTCACGCACTACATAAACATTGAACATTTACCTGGCACGCGTGGCATTTATTATGACATACTACATTTGCATGATGAATTTTATTAACTATGAAAATAAGAGATAAAGATTATGAAAGATAATATTGTATACACAGTTTATTGAGTTCTATTTTAGTCACCGGATTTTATATAGTATTAAAATCGTTAAAAATTAAATAAATATTCTGAGAATTTTTAAAATATTAAAATGTTTAAATATTAAATCACATAAAACATAAAAAAAAATCTATTTATATCAATCAAAAATAATGTATCGTTTTTAATTAATAAAATTATAAAAGTTACAAAATACATTAAACTTTGAATTTTTTTTAAAAATGTTAAGTAGTATCACTATGGATACCTTAAAGATCAACACTAAATAAATAGCTTCATACACCGTCATATTCTTTTGAGCAAACAACAAAGGGAACACACTGTTACTGTAACTAATGGTTTATCAATTATTTTAATATTACAAGATATGTAATTTTATTACATAATATATACTGTAATATAATATAATATATAATATACTGTACTCCTATTTCCTATTGTATCATTTGTGTTGTATAATAAAAAATATAATAATTTCTCTCATTAAAATTCGTAAAATAATACTTTTTTCCTAATCCCTGTTTAATATTTTAAACATTCTAAAGTTTTTATTTGTCTATTTTTTGTAAGTATGTAAGTATATTCGTTAAGAAATAAAAACAAGGCGCTAAACTAATATAAAGTAATACGCAATGCAGTCTATGAATGTATAATATTATAATGATATATGACTTTTCGCATGTTTGGTAGTCGATCTGCGCCGTCTCTGTGCACAATTTAAATCGTAAGTCACAATACTAAAATAATACATGACTAAATGCTAATTGAATAAGAAATTTCA